GTGTGTGTGTAAAAAGATGTGTGTGTGTGTAAAAAGATTTGTGTGTGCCTAAACAGATTTGTGTGTGTGTAAAAAGATGTATGTGTGTGTAAACAGATGTGTGTGTGTGTAAACAGATGTGTGTGTGTGTAAACAGATGTGTGTGTGTGTAAACAGATTTGTGTGTGCCTAAACAGATTTGTGTGTGTGTAAAAAGATGTGTGTGTGTGTAAAAAGATTTGTGTGTGCCTAAACAGATTTGTGTGTGTGTAAAAAGATGTATGTGTGTGTAAACAGATTTGTGTGTGTGTAAACAGATGTGTGTGTGTGTAAACAGATGTGTGTGTGTGTAAACAGATGTGTGTGTGTGTAAACAGATTTGTGTGTGTGTAAACAGATGTGTGTGTGTGTAAACAGATGTGTGTGTGTGTAAACAGATGTGTGTGTGTGTAAACAGATGTGTGTGTGTGTAAACAGATGTGTGTGTGTGTAAACAGATGTGTGTGTGTGTAAACAGATGTGTGTGTGTGTAAACAGATGTGTGTGTGTGTAAACAGATTTGTGTGTGTGTAAACAGATGTGTGTGTGTGTAAACAGATTTGTGTGTGTGTAATTTGACATGTGTATCTGTAACAGAACAGTCTGTGTGTAAATAACCACGTTGTACAAAGAGAAGAACAAAAGCCTCAGTGCTTCAGGCTCTGTTTTACACACATCTCTCTGTGACACACCTCTGCTGCTTAGTGTGTGTCAGTGTAATGTGGTTGTTCTAGCAGTACACCAGCAGGTGGTGCTGTTGTAGCTGGTTATTAACTACACACAAACAAACCAAAACCTACTGCCTTGACAAGACACACTACCGCAGCTGTTTATGATGTTTGTTTCCTATATTTAAATCCTGTCATTCACACCACTGTATGATACATGGATCTATTATAATAACTGGATAGTACACTGTATGACACATGGATCTATTATAATAACTGGATAGTACACTGTATGACACATGGATCTATTATAATAACTGGATAGTACACTGTATTATACATGGATCTATTATAATAACTGGATAGTACACTGTATGACACATGGATCTATTATAATAACTGGATAGTACACTGTATGACACATGGATCTATATAATAACTGGATAGTACATGGACACATGGATCTATTATAATAACTGGATAGTACACTGTATGACACATGGATCTATTATAATAACTGGATAGTACACTGTATGACACATGGATCTATTATAATAACTGGATAGTCCTTGACACATGGTTTATGGAGTACACTGAATGACATTATAATAACTGGATAGTACACTGTATGACACATGGATCTATTATAATAACTGGATAGTACACTGTATGACACATGGATCTATTATAATAACTGGATAGTACACTGTATGACACATGGATCTATTATAATAACTGGATAGTACACTGTATGACACATGGATCTATTATAATAACTGGATAGTACACTGTATGACACATGGATCTATTATAATAACTGGATAGTACACTGTATGACACATGGATCTATTATAATAACTGGATAGATAGTACACTGTAATGATAGTACACTGGATCTATTATAATAACTGGATAGTACACTGTATGACACATGGATCTATTATAATAACTGGATAGTACACTGTATGACACATGGATCTATTATAATAACTGGATAGTACACTGTATGACACATGGATCTATTATAATAACTGGATAGGGTGGTACTAGCTGGAGCTGAAGGATTCTCACGTACTGCAGACTACAGTCACGTGGGCTATAGACATTTTCCCCATAGAACTCAAAGTAAACTAAAACAGCTGACAGAGAACCTGACAGAGAACCTGACAGAGAACCTGACAGAGAACCTGACAGAGAACCTGACAGAGAACCTACAGAGAACCTGACAGAGAACCTGACAGAGAACCTGACAGAGAACCTGACAGAGAACCTGACAGAGAACCTGACAGAGAACCTGACAGAGAACCTGACAGAGAAACTGACAGAGAACCTGACAGAGAACCTGACAGAGAACCTGACAGAGAACCTGACAGAGAACCTGACAGAGAACCTACAGAGAACCTGACAGAGAACCTGACAGAGAACCTACAGTGAACCTGACAGAGAACCTGACAGAGAACCTGACAGAGAACCTACAGAGAACTTGACAGAGAACCTACAGAGAACCTGACAGAGAACCTGACAGAGAACCTGACAGAGAACCTACAGAGAACCTGACAGAGAACCTGACAGAGAACCTGACAGAGAACCTGACAGAGAACATGACAGAGAACCTGACAGAGAACCTGACAGAGAACCTGACAGAGAACCTGACAGAGAACCTGACAGAGAACCTGACAGAGAAACTGACAGAGAACCTACAGTGAACCTGACAGAGAACCTGACAGAGAACCTGACAGAGAACCTACAGAGAACCTGACAGAGAACCTGACAGAGAACCTGACAGAGAACCTGACAGAGAACCTACAGAGAACCTGACAGAGAACCTACAGCTTTCATAAAGGTCGGATTTTGTGGGAATTTTAGTGTTTACGCACGCACAGTCCAAGTTACACTTGTGAATCTGCGAAGGCAGGACTGCGTCAAAAGATTTGTGTGTAAAACGTACCTTTTTTTTATTTACGTACACACAAATCTGTTTACGCACACACAAATATTATTGAAACAATAATATCTCCCTCTCTGTTGAATAGAACTCATCTCAGTCAAAGAGACTAAAGTTTTATTTCAGAGGAGTTTTTTCAGATCCTGAGTTTGGTCAAGTCAGCGATCAGCAGCACTTTTCAACCACCACTGTCTCTAAAGTCAGTCCCTACAGTTTTTAAAGTATTTAAGTACATGAACGTGCATCAGTGTGTATGCACTTGTGTGTGTGTGTGTGTGTTTGTGTGTGTGTGCAGTATTGTGTGTTTGTGTGTGTGTGCAGTATTGTGTGTTTGTGAATTAATGACTAATCTAAACAAAGGTAGAAGTGGAGCAGCAGACAGACAGTTATAGCTCACAGGGGCCTCAGACCCCGCTCACAGGGGCCTCAGACGGGCCCCGCTCACAGGGGCCTCAGACGGGCCCCGCTCACAGGGGTCTCAGACGGGGCCCGCTCACAGGGGCCTCAGACGGGGCCCGCTCACAGGGGTCTCAGACGGGCCCCGCTCACAGGGGTCTCAGACGGGCCCCGCTCACAGGGGTCTCAGACGGGCTCACAGGGGTCTCAGACGGGCCCCGCTCACAGGGGTCTCAGACGGGGCCCGCTCACAGGGGCCTCAGACGGGCCCCGCTCACAGGGGTCTCAGACGGGCCCCGCTCACAGGGGTCTCAGACGGGGCCCGCTCACAGGGGCCTCAGACGGGGCCCGCTCACAGGGGCCTCAGACGGGCCCCGCTCACAGGGGTCTCAGACGGGCCCCGCTCACAGGGGTCTCAGACGGGGCCCGCTCACAGGGGCCTCAGACGGGCCCCGCTCACAGGGGTCTCAGACGGGCCCCGCTCACAGGGGTCTCAGACGGGGCCCGCTCACAGGGGTCTCAGACGGGCCCCGCTCACAGGGGTCTCAGACGGGCTCACAGGGGTCTCAGACGGGCCCCGCTCACAGGGGCCTCAGACGGGGCCCGCTCACAGGGGCCTCAGACGGGCCCCGCTCACAGGGGTCTCAGACGGGGCCCGCTCACAGGGGCCTCAGACGGGGCCCGCTCACAGGGGTCTCAGACGGGCCCCGCTCACAGGGGCCTCAGACGGGCTCACAGGGGCCTCAGACGGGCTCACAGGGGCCTCAGACGGGCTCACAGGGGCCTCAGACGGGGCCCGCTCACAGGGGTCTCAGACGGGCCCCGCTCACAGGGGTCTCAGACGGGCCCCGCTCACAGGGGCCTCAGACGGGCTCTGCAAAGACACATTCCATGATGTGTCTGCTCTTTATCCATGCTCCACATAAAAAATAAGAAATGTCCACAAAAAGATTCTTGAATAATATAAATTATATTTATTTTACAAACAAGAAAATTGTACTTTAAATTGGACCAAATCAAAATGAAAAGCAGGTGTGAGAGAGAGCCCTTCCCCAAAGCGTCCACTAGATGGCGACAGAAGCTCTGCAAAGTGACTAAACTACATTTTGGCTCCTACAATAGTTTTAAACCACACACACACACACACACACACACACACACACGCACACGCGCACGCGCACGCACACGCACACGCACACGCACACGCACACACACACACCCCTCATGTTTTCCAGTTCTCCTTCAGGTTCTCTGTGAGGAGCAGCAGCTGCAGTCGGAGTCTCTTCCTCAGACTCTGGGCAAAAAACAAAAACTGGAATCAGAACACAGTATGATGTGACATCACAGTTTCTCAGGTGAAATTAAGTTCTCTCTCTGGTCTCTCTCTCTGGTCTCTCCCTCTGGTCTCTCTCTCTGGTCTCTCCCTCTGGTCTCTCTCTGGTCTCTCTCTCTGGTCTCTCTCTGGTCTCTCTCTCTGGTCTCTCTCTGGTCTCTCTCTCTGGTCTCTCTCTGGTCTCTCTCTCTGGTCTCTCTCTGGTCTCTCTCTCTGGTCTCTCTCTGGTCTCTCTCTGGTCTCTCTCTCTGGTCTCTCTCTGGTCTCTCTCTGGTCTCTCTCTCTGGTCTCTCTCTGGTCTCTCTGGTCTCTCTCTGGTCTCTCTCTGGTCTCTCTCTGGTCTCTCTCTCTGGTCTCTCTCTCTGGTCTCTCTCTGGTCTTTCTCTCTGGTCTCTCTCTCTGGTCTCTCTCTGGTCTTTCTCTCTGGTCTCTCTCTCTGGTCTCTCTCTGGTCTCTCTCTCTGGTCTCTCTCTCTGGTCTCTCTGGTCTCTCTCTGGTCTCTCTCTCTGGTCTCTCTCTCTGGTCTCTCTCTGGTCTCTCTCTGGTCTCTCTCTGGTCTCCCTCTCTGGTCTCTCTCTGGTCTCTCTCTGGTCTCTGGTCTCTCTCTGGTCTCTCTCTCTGGTCTCTCTCTGGTCTCTCT